TATTTTCTCCTCCCTCGCCGCCTAGGTTGCTTCTCTTCTCTTCGGGGCCGCAGGGAGGAGGTTAGCGCGCTGCGCCCGGGGCCTGCGCGGCACAGAGGGAGGCGTTTCTCTTACTTCTCCCGGGTAATTTGGAGAGATCGTGTGCGCGCGCGCGCGAGTGTCAGGCGAAAAGGGATAGGATCTAGCGCCAAGCAGAGAGGTTCAGGGTCTTTGACATACCTCACCAGCTGCACAAAGCTCCATGAACAAGTGTGCGAGTGAGTGAGAGTGCGCGCGCGCGCACGGGCTGGCTGCGCTTGGCACGTTTGGTGGCCCGGGGCCCCAGGGCCCGGGGGCCCGCCTGGCGGTCCGGGATTACCGTGACGTCACATCGAGCCTCTGGCCACCTTGGACTGGGACACCTCGAAAGCCGCGCCTCACCTTGCCTCGCCACTGTGCGCCTTTGAGAACTCGCATCCTCTTCCTTCCCCTGCCCATCCATGGGCCCTTCTGTCTTCCGGACCACGCTGGCCGGTGGAGCGCCTTCTGGAGCGCAGGGCTTGGCAGCTGGGCTGCCCCTGGCTATGCCTCCAGTGGCGCTAAGAGGGCGGAGGACCCGCCTCTGGGCATCCGCAGCCGTGTGAGGAACCAAGGCGGCACACGGCTGGAGGCGCGGATACCACGGGCTGAGGCGGAAACAAGAAAGAGAAGAGGCAGGCGAGCCGGGGACAGCCACCATGTCCTTCTCGCACTTTGGACACCCGTATGGCAGCGCTTCCCAGGTAAGAGGCGGCTCCATGGGGGATGGGGACAGACTGGGCAGAGGGGACGCCCAGGGCACGCTCCTGCCCCTGAGCGCCCTCCACTTGCACGAGGCTCCGGGGAAGCCAGAAGGAGCGGGCAGCGGGGTAATGTGCCACCGTGCCCTCTGACCTCCTCAGTCCCTCGCCGGGAACGTTCCAGGCCCCCGGTGCGAGCTGGAAAATCGGGTGACCCGAAACTTGAGCACTCTGACCACGCGCTCGGCGAGGTGGGTGGGACCACGGACATCTTCCAGACAGGTCTCCTTATTGTACGGATATCCGAGGTGGCCGAGAGAGTCTCAAAATAA